ACAGTGAATTTCAAGGGTATAGATATAAGAAAACACAACACATAACTATCACATAACGGTCTTACTTCTCTTTCACCTTGAAATTTCAAGCAACTTCTACCCTCTATTATTAAAACGGGTAAGTTTGGGTACAAGAGCAATATCAGTGATTCATGTGTGATTATTACTTGGGTGACGTCGGCGTTAAAAACTAATTATCCCGGGGCGAGCCGAGGTCGGGCACAGTAAGTCAGATAATGTTTACTTAATTCCAACTTACGCTCCGATAGTAACTTGGAGAATTCCAAACAAAAACAAGCCCCTCAGGCGTTTATTGTTACAAACCCATTTATTATACATAGTTATCTTTACTTTATAATATTAATTTTCGTGCTGTGGTTTTCAGAGCGAAGTTGTATTTTATGGTAATGCTTACGACTTGATACAACTTTGGTTATTCTATGCACAAGACGGTGAGTTTGTAATATTGTTTACTAGCTATATCCCGCGGCGTTTCCAGGAAAAAAATTATATACGAATAAACTGTGCGTCGTTTACGCAGACTTTCATTTAAAAGTTGGTTTCAGTAGATGTTACTTTATAATTAAGCTACATATTAAAAAAAAAAAAAACATTAGAAAGATGATTTTATGGCAGCTTATTTTTTTTAAATGTATTCATTGATATATTTTGATATTAAATCCATCATTAGAAGTTACCATACTGAAGGTATTTTCTTTTTATGAGTGAAAATGGAATGACGACTCCACCTGTGCTGTCGGTATGCACTACCAGTAAAAAATGGAATACGTGAGGCTGAAAGCAAGTCAGTTGGCCCAACACTGCGAATTCAACAAGAATTAACTACAGATGATTTCCAGAGGGAACCGTGTGGAAGTCGACCTGATTCTAATATGAATACACCCTATTGCTTGCAATGGAGCTGTTGGACCCCATTACTAATAATCCCTTTCCATCCATATTGAGCGTATTAAATAAAGAATAAAATTAAATAATTTTTATATTTTCCATTAAAAACCAAGCAATTAGGTTGGTGTTCTGTAACTACTGAGGCTAGAGTACACAAACGAGAATACTTCTTTATTCGTTTTAAATTGTGAACGGAAATAATTAATTTTAATCGACAATATTTATTGTTGAAGCACAAGAAATACATTTCTTATCGTTTAAGCGTAAGCACATATATTATTGTCTATCATTATTTCGGTATGAAGAAAAAAAATTACTAATAAAACTTTAAATCTAACTTTAAATCAATAATATTTTTTTCTGTTTAATATGCTGATTCAATATTCTGCTTAATATTTACATATTTACCAACATAGTCTACTGACATCCCAAACCACAGAGTACAATATCATAAATCAATAAACTACGCAACAACCCATCAGACATACAAATAGTTCCGCGTGTTTTTCTTTAATTTATCGAAGCCAATCCATTTGTAGAGACAAACATAATTTTGAGACATGTTACGTGAGCCATCTGGTTGGAATGCTCGAATCCCTGCACGGTTATATTGATATTAATTGGACGACACAGAAACCGCTCTACTGGGAACGAATAACAGATTAATAAAAGCTGATCCCAATTGTAGGAATTCCCTTTGTGACTTTGAGATGCGTCTAATAAATCCAAATCACGGGACTGTACCTCAGCGTATATCTATATAGATATCGGGGATTCTTCCTTTGTTATTATTTATCATTTCAACGACCTACAGAGATTGTTTTGAGAAAAAAAAGTACGAAATAAAAGAACTGGCGTTGTTGTCGCTCATTGAAGTGTCTACTTGTATATAAGATACGATGGAGCATTATTTAAAAAAATATATATTGTATTTTTGTTGTGTAATATTTATTGTACATAATTTACATTGGACACGTAAAATGATTTAATATACAAGTATAATGGCGGACTTGTCCCATAGAAGGATTTCTTAGTCAACCTTTGAAAAGCTGAAAGAAGACCATCAAATAAAAATGTTTTTAGGTGAATTCGTTGTTCTAATTTTTCCACTATCAAAGTTGTCCAGTTTTTTTTTTGAGCTTATTGTAAATTGTTTTCAGTAGTTTTATTTTATAAATATTATTATTATTGACAATGGAAGATTTTGAACAAACGTTGTCTGCATCGGTAAATCTGCGCAATCTTTATTAGCGACAATTACCATTTTCCATTTAAAGATTTTGTAATTCCTTGTTCTTAGTCTCCATGAAGTGAGCTGTCAAATTGTTATTGTTATTGTTTACTGTCATTTGCTGTAGAGACGATGGGGCTGTGGGGCCCAGATGCAAAGAATTTTTGTCGGACGATCGCAGCGCGCCTCAATGAGGTTACTGGTGACCCGAGAGTTAGTAGCTACTTTGCTCAAAAGATAAGTTTAGCAATCCAAAGAGGTAATGCTGCCCGTATCTTGGGTACACTGCCTCAGTGTGGTGCGTTGGGAGATTACTTATAATTAGTAATAGTATTTAAGAAATTGTGTATTAACTTTAATATATTAATGCACTGTAATTGTTTATAATCTAAATAAGCTGTCAAATTGGGTGCCATTCTATGTTCCATAAAAATCAACGGTGACATTTTATTTTATTTTTATTTATTTATTTAATTATATACATCTCACTATGATATTGTATTATATGCTTAGTTAAATAACATATCGATATATGTATGTCTGTCATTAAACAGCATACTCCTAAATAATAATTATTGTATATTTCTTTATAATTTACAGCCTGTACAATTTCTTAACACTATAAACGTATAGGTTATGGGTAAAAATTGGTGTGTAAAGTGGAAACGCAAAGCTGTACAAACGTCAAGGTCGAAGTTTGCGACAACGTAACAAATCTCTTAACATCGAAGTAGGTTATGAATTTTTAATACATTATGCTTTGTACGTATGGGTCTTGCTTTTTTATTCTAATGGAGATTTTTAGTTACGTCAGCAATAACAAAATTCATGGTGGAAAGTAAAAAAAATGCCATTTGTATTAAGAATTCGAGGTACTAATAGGAACGTAACATTAATTAAGTGTTAGATCCCTGCTCGTATTGTATTTCGCTATTATTATACGCTAGTACATCCTTGAATTAAATAATATGTTGCATTAAGGAATTAAACGAAGGAAGTTATTTATTATATTGCGTTTTATTTTTCAATAATATTTAAATAATGATGTTGTCTCGTTATTTGAATATAAATTCGTTGTGTAGAAATTTTAATATAAATTAATTTAAAAGTAAAATGGATTATTGTTTACTAATGTAAATAATTATATATATATATATATATATATATATATATATATATATATATATTCTTTATTGCACTAAAACATACAGTATATTATTGCTTGCTTATTGCTGCTTATAGTAATTATCTTATTGCTTGGATAATTTCCCAATGATTCTCATATTACAACGAATCAGATTTTTCAGTATTCATACATATTTTCCCTCTTATAAATTATTCTTGCAGAAATAAGTGCTAAAATAGTGTTTTGTTCTGAAAGGTAATAAATACGTCTCTTTCGATTATGATCACGTAGTTCGATTAGGATAACATACTTTTAGTGCTCTAAGTCGTTTCATGTACTGAGGTTGAATAAATAGGTCTCAAAACTCACTTAACTCAGAGAAAAAACTGTTTCAAACCAATATAAAACAAATTATAAAGATAAATTGAAACATAAAAAGCTTATATTGGAAAAATATATATTTAATTGGTAAGGTAAACCGTCGTCACTTTTATATGCGTATATTCCCAATTTCTGATTCGGCAGCTGTACGTGTGGAGGACATACCCTACAATGAATGCTCTGTTTTTATTTTTATTGGCAATTAAACAATTAACCCTTTGAGCGGTACAAAAGACCCAATTTCTGAGGTTCCCCTCTGCGACGAACGAAATTTTATACTCATTGAAGGCGTATTGTGGTGAATTTTAGGGCGATTGTTCGCTGCATGAGGTGAAAGCGTTTGCTCTGAATACTGGAACACCATTTACTAAATGAGGAAGTCTCACAGCTGGGTACTTACTAAAGGGAGGGTTAAATTAGGTCTAGATCTTTATGTGAACCGCGAAATTTTTTTTTTTACTACCCTTTGTGCGATGGACGTATTCATAAATACGGCGTGTATATCTGTGAATTTTGTATTCCTCTTCGTTTCTTTTACTTCTAGTTATTGGATTATAACCTGTTATTACTTTGATTTAATTTTTTTGTAATTAAGATAATTTGACTGTAGTATATATATATATATATATATATATATATATATATATATATATATATATATATATATATATATATATATATATATATATTCTAGGTAATTTAATTGATTTTTTTAAGAATAAATTGCTCATTTCACTTACAGTTTCCAAAAACGTGTAGTGAGCCTATAGGTTCATGTTACAAACTTAATAACTTTAAACAACGTTTAAAAATCCATCTAATTTGTAATAAAAATATCAATATCTGGCTGTTGAGTAATCAGAGAATTAAGCAGAGAAATAGGGTGATAAGTAGAAGCAAACTTAGCAGTACAGTTATTACAATTATTGAAGATGTAACCAATAGTCGTGTGGTCCTGGAATAGAATGGCCTCCTCTTCCTTTACCGTGGGTGTCGGCAACTAAGGGAACATAATATTATTTTGAAATAAATTATTATTATTATTATTATATTATTATTATTATGGTCGAGGGATGGGTAGCAGCGTTCCTCTTAAAACATCATCAAAAGCCAAACTACGGTTGTCACTCCGCCTGCCATGCGTAGCAACTACTGGCAATATCATTCTATTGGCAAACTGCCATAGGAAACGTTCAGTTTCTTATGACAGTCTATGGAGAAGGCTTATGTTCAGCAGTGGACAGATGACGGTTGATATAGTGATAATTATCAACTAATAACCATAAAACAGCGATTATTTCAAATCTATGAAATAGCGAGCAATAGGCAATAGGCGAAAATAAAATTCAGATATGATTTTTTGATTTATTTAATAAAAATCTCTTTTGACTTGAACACGATCACTAAATTACAGACAATTAAAGAAATATGTATTTCGTGTAACATTGAGATTATTTACGTTGTATATCAGTCGAATAGCTTAGAACAATAGTTACAAACCATAGTCGCACTGACTGATTCAAAGAATTGTACATCATATTTACATTATTTTAAGTAAAAAATATAGGTACAGCAGTATTATGAAGTTTAGCAACTATAAAGAAATTTTTGAACGTTCACCACGAAATAATTTATTGTAATATTTATGCTTACTCGTATTTTCATCAAATTTTATCGATAGGTGCGTAAATATAAAGTGAAAAATACATAGTAACTTATAATAAGGTAATAAATGCAGATGAGTGACGATATAAATTGACTGAATTATTACAAGTAGACTACAATATTTATATCATATAAAAAAAAAATTGTTTCAGTATACCATAACATCAGTAATAGTAAATGTATGAGAGAACACAGGAGATATTGCCAGAACTATATTGTGATTTTAGTTTTAATACACTTATGTGATCTAATAAAAAATATTGCATTTTCATAATATTAGAAGTAATTTAAAGAAACTAACTAAAATATATTTACTTTTTGGTGACATTAGAAAAGTATTTGTACATATTGAAAGATGTGGATACATTACAAAAAAAATATTTTATACAAATTATAAGACAATTGTTTTCGGTTTTCATAAATTATAAAAATTGAAAATATAATAAGAAAATATGAAATAATTAAATGTAGGTCCGTTTATCGACACAGAAAACGTAGGTACGAGTATATTATAATTACTCAATATTAAACGTAGGTATATTATAGTGTCTACTCACGACTTTGTCCGCATTTTTTTTTATACAACTTAGAATGGCAAATAAACTGGCGGAATTTCCAACTGATGGTAAATGGTAACCGTCGCCTATAGACATGAGCGGTACCATTCTCCTAGGCGTTACTATTCCTGAGGACTCAGGAGTAGTAACGCTTGGGATAAGGTACACAGGAATAGTACTCAGGAGTAGTACTCCTGAGATTCCTGTGTACCTTGTAAATAAAAAAAAATATCCAAATAACTGATTTTGCCATGATTGAGTCCGTTTTTTTGTGGAACTAAACTATTGGATGCTGATAATAAAATAACATCATAATCGAGTTTTTTGCCATTACTACTTCTATTTGAAAATTTTATTTCGTAAAAAAATAACTGTATTTTCACAAATACTAACATTAGTATTATAATTTTCACTGGGTACAGTAGTTGTGGTTTTAGAACTGGGCTCCTAAATAAGCTAATATAATAATCTGTGTTAAGGAGCCACAACTCCAACCCCCTTTAGTATTATGTATTTGGTAGTGGACATTTAAAAAGTTACATAGATATTTCTTAGTTTAAAAAATCCTTACTTCCAGAGTTCTGTTTTATCCATTTTTTTTAACACGAAGAGTAGATATTAATCAACTTAAGTTACACATAAAATAATAAAAACCGAGATTATACATTTCATATTTCACATTAAACTATGTCTTTGTTAATTTAGTCTCATATTGAAATAAAATGTAAGAACTCTGAGTACTGCGATATAATTATTCATTGTACCTACGATTGCTGTGTCGAATTATTGTTTGTAATTTTACATTTTTTAATTTCTATCCTTTTTATTCATCAGAACATAAAACAGTATTTGTAACATAACCATGGAGAACAAGTTGCTATCTGTATAATTAAAGCTGTATTTTTTAATAATTTGAAAAGCTTGTCAGAAGATCAACTAATTTTGTTTACAATTGGAAATAGTTATATATTTTATAATGTTTTACAATATGCGAAAATATCCTTAAAGTAAAATCGAAAGTGACTATTAACACGTATCTATGTACATAATTGTAACTTAAAAAAGGTGCACCATGTTTTTTTCTTAGATATTTACAAAATATACACATATATATACTAACAATTATTAACAATGACAATTATCTTCGGCGAATAACATTTTTATTTTATATTTATAAAACAAAATTTTTTTACACATTTCGATAGGTATTAAAAATAAATAGGTTGGACCATCTATATAATATATATTTCGTATTTGAATAAATTAACTACAGGATATTTATACAAAAGAAGTTAATATATAAGTAAATGATAATTACTTTATTTTTCTCCGCAGGCAGTAGAAATTTATCGAGTAAATTATTTCTTTGAAACAAAAACATGTAATGCTTCAGGCACAATAATATTTTTATTACTATCACCATTTTACAAATTCTTTAATAATTACGAATTACTATTTTGTGCCTTGGTTAAATTATGTTTAAATTGTTTGACCACAATATTCAAAGTTACATTTAAAATTAATTTCAGGCATTCAGATAAAATTATATAGAATTTTAAATAACTATTTATTTTTTACAGCACAAGTAATAATTGAATATCAAAATTGTCACAAAGAATTACTACAAATAGATAAAATGGCAGCATCGTTTGTCATGTACAAAATCTGATTCAACTGCGTCAGCCTTTTCATGTACCTATTATCTACTAAAAATTGATAAGTAACAACAACGTTATCATTGCGTTTCTATGAAACGTTTGTCATAACAATACAAATAATTAATTAGGCTTTTCTATCACTTCACCGTATACACGCCTAGTTTTTATCATACATTTTGAATGTCTTTTACACTGGTTGGCACACCGTTTGTCTTTGAGACGTTTTTGGGTGTCAATTTAAGATATTTGGAATGTTTTCGACAAAACTGTTCAGCAACAAATTTAATATTAAACGTTTCTGTTTATATTAAGTCACTTTTTGCATTCAGCTTTGCCCCTTTGAATTGAGAAGCCCCTCAAAAGAGTTAGAAGCGGGTATGGCAAGGGGACTCGGCCCCTCAGCTCTGTGCTAGGGAATCCAGCGGCACCACCAGTTTTCCGTTGGAGTAGCTATAACAAAGAAAATCGTAATATATTAGGATAGTATTTTTAGATACTGGAATTTTATTTAATATGTTCTTTAAAGTGTAATTTGTAAAAATTTACCAAAAGATCCAAGTGTAAGTTTGTGTGTAAGTATATGTGGCACGTAATATATAGATGTATAATAGTAACCTGTATGGTATAGTAGTTGTTCTGGATTTAGCTCTGCTTGGCCTACAGGCTTCATCTGTAATCAAGACATTCTAACTTAAGCCATCTTCAATAAACAACAATATATATTTTCATAGAAGCAGACGTTTGTCTTAGCCGACTAATCGCAAAGTTCCGCTCGTATCCTATCGAGAAGGCTTAATTAAGTGGTAGCGCATGCTATTGTCTCGGTTCTTGTGGAACAAAACTTATCTCTAGTCGAAGTTTGCAAAAGTAATATCTGCAATACCTTAATGAGGGAACTTTGTATCGACTTTGTTAATCGCTTCTGACCCAGCCACGATGCGCCGCTTGTTATCGACTCTTTGGTTGTTTCAGATTTTTTCTTTTTATTAAAACAGAAATATTTTATTTTTACTTTTGTGTTATGTTGTAGTATGTGATTAATGACTGTAGAACCAAAATAAAAATCACGAGACTAGGATTGCGATATCCCAATGACGTCACGAAGTTACTTTTCTATGGACGCGCCTTTGCCAAATAAACATAATAAAGGAAAAAAATATATACTCATATAATAAGACTGAGAATTCAAACCAAAAATAGTGTATTTTAATGTATGGGACCCTTACCATAAATAGAGCGGCTAACATCGTTGTGAGAGGCACGCATCGCATTTGACGGGCTCGGCACGCCGCTTGCCCTGAGAGCCCTGCGAGCCGGACTTACGCCGGAAAGTGTACCTAACGAGCAGACCTGCAATGCAAAACGCCGCACCGTTAACAAAATAAACAAATAAACCAAAACAAAAACAAGAACATAGAGCCACCGGCGCGCGTCCATCTGAAAAACGCCTATGGGCGAACGAAAGCGAGCGAAATAAAAAAGGGATGACACTCTCACGGTTTTCACGACTTGACACCACCGGATTCATTCACATTTTATGTGAGAATAGAAGTTCTGATATACGTCGTGCAATTTTATTCTAAAAATATATTTTGTTTGTTGTGTGATGGCAGTAAGTGAATGTTTAAAGTATGTTTTTTCTATGTATTACGTTTTGTTTGAGCTAAATGCAGAGGTAAATGTATATTTTATTTATAGAAGCAGCGCTTATAATGCTAATATTTTAAACTTTTACATGCATTAAAAATTAATACCATGTGAAAATGAGATGAGCTGGGCTAAAATGTTGTATAAATATTATAAAACTTACCAGTAAGTCCAGCTTTGTTGATGCTATTTGAGCTCGAAAAGCCTGATATTTTCTTCCAAGCTTTTTTATTCCAAAATCCACTGGTTTTTGCATCACCGCAACTTGAACTGCGTGGGGAAGGGATATCTTTAGGACATCGGAGGCCACAATCTTCTGCACCGAGTATGCGTACCCCAGCACCACGTGTTCCATATGCTACGGCAGGTAAATGAGGCACTGAACCCGTCGGTTTTCGTCGTAAACTACCCACATAACTGGCTCCACTGCTGCTACCACTAAAACCACTATCTAGGTCAGGAGGATTGCAACTAGCTGGTGATAATAATTCATCAGTTGGTCCTACTCGAAGTAATTCCTCTATATTATCTCTATCTTCCGCACGTTCAGAATCTGGTGACTCACATTCTGGCATTAACATGGCTTCTACGCTAAGGTTTAATTCCCCTAAAATTCGTTTATGCCTTGACTCTACTCGCCGTACTTCTTCTTCGACTACACTTCTATCAAGTGATACCAATGATTGTCTAGGAACATATCTATGTTTTGGACAAGTTCTTGAGCCATCTGTAATCTCTTCATAGATATTTTCTTCAGTTCCATATCTCGTAACGTAATTGTGACGAGCAGATCGATCTTTAGGGATACCACCGCGTCCTCGTTGGCGGTTCGTTTTTCTTGACGAAGATGGCATTGATAAATGATGATCATAATAGGCGTACGAATAATCAACAGGTTCAAATCTTTCCATAGTCGCTGCGATATTGCTTCGATTCCATGTCTGTGGGGGTGGTTCTCTGGATAAATTGACAGCAGCGAGTCTAGCCGGTAAAATTTCATCCAAGTCTCGAGCACATCTTTCATCAAGCGATTGTGCTCCGTCATCTTCGTCTCGTCTATGTTTTCTGTGGGGTCGGCGGGAAGTTTGAGATCTTGGATAGGGTCGATCACAATCTGATCCGTGTCCATGATTATAATCTGGTGTATGACTACGATTATAGTCCACAGGTCGATGCTTACAATCAATAGTATGATGGTAATCTGATGTACGTCTCAGACTATAACTAGAATTACCTTCATAGTCAGATCTGTCATAAGAAGGACTATCGTCAGCGTTGCTGGTATGTGGATGTGGGCAGTCGGCTGCGATACCTGATTCGGATGAAGGGTAGTCGTGAACCTCGGCAGTAGTAAGAACACGGTCGTCTGGCCGTGCTGGTTCTGAAGCAACGTGGCGATGATGTGGTCGAGGTCGCGTCGTTTCTCGACAACTTGCAAAAGTTCTTTGCAGTGAAGGAGTCGGATAACGTCCGCAACGAGAGTCGTACACCGCCTCCCCCGGCTCGTCGGGGCTTGGCGGCGCGCTTCGTGATTCCATGGCTCATCCTCTCATTGCCAATTAGAACCTGCAAATAAAAATACAACTGTTGAAAGAGATTATACCTATATCTTATAGCTTCAAGAATGTAACAACATTGGTTATTTCGCAATTAGTGAGGTACCAGCGTAATCTCATTTGCAAAGAGATTTATCTATACAAGTAATAAAACAAATTTACTTTGATACTGTACACACACAACAGTATTAATACATTATTGTGTCGCTAATATTGTATTAGAAATATTATACTTTTAATAAAGGCCGCGGAACGGAGCGCAGTGTTGAGGCCGAGGGCAATTAATTCGAAATTACATGCTCTATGATAAGGGTAGGGTAAGTGGCGATCAACACAGCAACCGACGTCGATATATCATCATCAGACACTGTATTATAAATTAGTTTTAGAGATTTCACGCCATGTTTGTTTTTTGAGTACGATAGTGTTGTTCTTGTCTAAGATAAGCAATAATCAATATTATTTGGAATACCCCTGGGTATGAAGCTCGACAAGTATTGTAAGATGTCACAGAGCCATGCAAACACAATTGCGAAGCAGTTGTGTTTGCATGGCTCTGTGTTCGGTGTGAAGGGTAGGATATGGCAGTGATTTTACAAGATACAGAGGAATAACGCCTGAGTCCTCTGGAATGGCAACGCATGGAGGATATTATGGGTGAAAAAGTATACTCTGTTATGTCCATAGTACTGCTCATGTCTATAGGCGACGGTTACTTTTCAGCCGTCAGCTTGTTTGCTATTCTAAGTTGCATAAAAAATAGTTTTGCACTTTGGATTAATTGATCTCAGAAAAATTACATCTACGACATAAATATGCTTTTTCCTAGTATTGATTTCATCAAAAGAATAAATTGCACACTGATCATATTTGCATGAAAAATGAATTACTACACCCTACTATAAATTATTTCCGCCCCATAAAATGTGACCTTATTTACATATGCTTAATGTGAATATGAAATGCCTATGTTCGGTATCTAATACTCGTAAATAGTGGTAATATTGTGATAGTTTAAATATTAGGTATTAACAATCAAGTTTGTTGCATACATCTTATTCTAAAGTACCTTATATTGGATTACAATCGTAAATATATTTAAACATTATATTTTTTTTTATTACAGAGTTTAGTTTGCCTGTTGTACATTTTGATATAAAATAAATTATAACAATGTAATCTTTGTGTACAATAAAGTAAAAATAAATAAATTATCCAACGATGAAATAGCATTTTTACAGAATAGGAAATACCTATAGATCAAACGTTAAAGTATTTAAAATGTAAAATAGTAACAGTTCAAATTTCGTTTGCAAAAATCAAACTATTTTCAGTAAAACGAATCTACACAAATAAAACGTTCGTATGACAAAATCAGTACGATGTGAAATAACAAAATTCCAATTGTAGATTTTTGTTGTGGATCCCCTTAAAGTGCAGATTCCAGACCAATTTATTACGATAACGATAAGTGTCCGTGAACTAGTGTCGCAACTGTCGCAAGGGCGTCTGTACCCTCCCGTTGTCATAGCAACGTCCCGATCCCGCGGTTTTATCGCTGCGCTTCCGCCCGATATTCCTTGCATCTAAATCATCATCAGCGCTGGGAAGCCGCTCGTAAAGCGCCCGTTGACCGTCCGGCGGTGGCTATAATTTGTTATGCCCCGGATTGCCCACTACTGCCCGTCATTGCCTATCTTTCTTGCTAGTCTTGGAATCTCGTCTCTATTGTGTATGCCGCTGTAAGCCAATCTCGCGTCCTTGTCGCAATCTCAGTATATTTGAGAGAAATGCGTAATGGGCTTTTGTTGGATCGCGCCGCTTGTTTGGTTTTTTTGATAAACATTTCATGGTAGTACAACGGCAGATTGCCGTAATAATATGTTGAGGATGTGTTGTTTTTCCTGCGAATATGCCATGAAATGTTTCTTTCTTATCACATATAGAATAACAACAGCATAATGTTATCAATAAAATTTGAGTTTACTACACTTTTACCATAAATCATACCACTAACTACGGTGTTTATTAGACGGGGGTGAAATGTGCGATAGAATCTCCTAGGTTTATATAATAAATGATACAGTGTATACAATTTAGTAGGTATTTTTGACAAATTAAATGGACGTATTTCAACTATAAAAGAGGTTATGCCCAGTTTTAGGTAGCACGAATTATCGAAAACCGCGATCTTTGATTATGGTATTTATAGTGCGATTAACTTCTGACTAATTATTAATAGATGATGTCTTATACGGATTCTGAACCGATTCTGATAATAATTTTGAAATCTATAAAGTTTAGTTTTGTATTGTATCCATAATAATTTAATCATGATAGGGGTTGCTCTTTAATGCCAGAGCAAAACTTATGTTAAGGTAACAGTTACTGATAGTTATTTAATTAGTTGGTTACCAACTTAAAACATTAATCAATACGCTTGCTTGGTATGTTTATATACTGACATCATACCAAATCGGGGAGCACGCTAAATTCAAAGAATCCAAATCCTTTGTCAGGCATGTTATCAATTTTAATTTTTTATCGTTACTGAATATGTTATTGATTGGAAACCCAAATGACGTACCTAAATACTTTTTGTCGACTGTTGCCTTTATGAAGAACGTAATACTAGATTTACTGATTTGGTCAGGTATAATTGATTTCGTTTTTAGACTACCTGAACGAGCTTAATGATATTCGTTTTTATAAATCATTGAGTATGGACATCGGCAAAAGAATAATTTATACTAACATAATACGTATATGTTATTTTTTTCTATGATTACTACACTGAAACTCATCTGAGGAGAAGCAATAATTGTTGTTTTTAGAAAAAAAATACAAAATACTCGTATATTGCCTATATGGTATTCCTTATTTGTTTTTATAGGTAAATATGTATTATTAAAGAATTAGTTGGAGGTAAACAATAACGTTGTTCATGTCTTTTAATGATGGATATCATTTTATATCAGAAGGGTCATAACCATGTTTAGCATTTTCTAATTTATAATAATTAAATTGTGTTTCACACAATAAATCAATTTCGATTGTAGCAAAATCATATTTGCATCTAAAAAATAAAATTACTTAACCGATTTTGATAAAATTTCTCTCTTTAACTACCATGCAATAGTTACCATGCTTGACAAATGGATTGGCAACCGCAGTTAGGCTTTAGAGATGTTTTTTAAAGGGACGCTGCTGTCCATTCCTTGCTCTCCCTTAATCACCTCTTACGACACCCACGGGAAAGAAAGGGGTGGCCTATTCTATACCGGGACTACTCGGCCATATCGGCTTTTCATATAAAAAAAGAATTTTCCAAATCCGTTTACAACTGACGGGAGTTATGAGGTTACAAATATAAAGAATAAAATCGACTAAAGAACCTTTTTATTTGTGAAGTTGGTTGAAATGCAATCATATGCAATGTATGCTAGTTTCATATCAAATATAATGAAACTTCGATTTGTTGAATCATCACAGTAAACTACTAAGCTCTTTTTCATGAACAAATTTAATTTAGTAAATAAATTTAATCAATCGCAACAAATTTAATATAATGATATAATATTTTTGAAAACCGGTATGGTGTACATGGGAATAAACAATATCGTTTACAAAAAGAGTTTTCTCTTTTTAGAATCACTTAATAAATCCGATAACGTACTTCGTAACTAATGGAAATGTTATAAATTAAACAATATTTGAAAGTTACAACAACAAAAAACGATAGCGTCCCTTCATACTTCACATGATATCAGCACATTTTTCGTCCCCTATCTGTGTTCCCCTCCGTTATACAGTTCGAATACATTATGAGGGTGTAAAATCACGCGACGTTTCCTAATGCCAACATAATTGCAATGAAATTTATAACACGTTTTTAATACTAATTTAATACGGCACAGGGTTTAGGTCATCAATTAAATAATAGAAAAAAATTTCTTTTTCATAATTCCTGCTATTAACTTCATTTCTGTAAGAATTTTTTGGTTTGAATAGTAGAAGTTGTAATTTTAAATTTGTTTCTTTAGTTCTGTATTGATATGTTATTAACATAAATTTGAAATACATCAATATATTATTATTTCATATATTTTTTTTATTAATTACATATATTTAGATAACCAATACACGTATTATTTCGAAGTTAGTAAGTTTTTGATTATTTATAAATTACTCAAAATATAATAAAAAAATAATAGATGATCATAACTGTAAAACTTCTATATTTTTACTTATTATTTTTGCACTGTTATTAAGATAAAGAAAGCATATCAAGGTTTAAGGTTCTCAATAGATAAAAATGGAATTGGATTTTCATACATATTGCCGTGCAGTTTCAAATTCAATATAGTGAGGTGCGAACCTTCTGCCGTTTGTCGGATTAATTAAGTTTGTTATTGATGTTCACGGAATAGTTAGCCGGACATTTAAATTGAGATACGAAGTTAAGATGTTAAATTTAGTAGCTTAGTAAATATAATGGTGTTAATTGGAGTAGATATAGAGAGGTATGTTCATAGCCTAAATTTTGTTCATGTGTAAAATTAATGTAAATTGTTTCTTACTTATTTTTATATTAATATTTTTAGGGGTAATAAATTATTAATTATGTAAACACAATGACTTTAATATATATTATCTTATTTATTAATTTTAGATTAAATTTTATTCACAATTATTCTGTAATTTAAGCAATCATCTAAATATATTTATATTTTTTACATTTATAATATAAAAGATTCTGGTCTAAACTTTGTTCTCTAACCATTCGAAGTTCTTCAAAACTTTCACATTTTTAAAGCAAAAAGAGAGTTCAGTTACTGTTTTATATTACTGTTTCTTCCATGCTTTAGTTCTTATTTTTAGGCATAAACATTTTGAAGTTTCACATTTATAATTTTAGTAGGATATTTAATAATATTTTATAAAGGTATACTTACCTTGGTTTCCGGTACTGTTACACTACAAAGGTGCAATGGTAATCAAACAAATGAC